GTAGTAAAGTCTGTTACGCAAACTCGGGACAACAAGCAAACAATTGACCGATTTGTATATATTGGCTAGCCAGTACAAAAGGAGGTAGGTGGTTTCACCCAGTCACACAATTTACATTATTGATTACATTTGCAGGTGTGACAAGGTCGAGAATTGCCTGTACACGATAAGATAACAGGCATCCCATAAACTGTTGTATGTAATTCCTTGCACAGCCAAAGTTAATTTAATAATGTGTTCATGCTGTGCATTAGATGGACTTTCCAACTGTGTCCCAAGAAGCAACATTGTATAGAAAAACATGGACTGCACACCAGCAACACAAACATGCGACTGTCCTACTGGTTTCAGGACTGTTGATAATTATTCATATGATTTCAGCAATTGAACAGATTTTGAGCTACTGGATGACAGTCATATGGATTAATCTGAATAAGCCTCTTCTCTAGGGAGATACGTGTATGACAGGACTGCCCTGGAACCACTCCACAAAAACAGATCAAACCATTTAAGCACAGTTTGACAACTTTCTCCAGCAGGATTAGCGAGTTGTTAAAACATGTTTGACATCTTATGGTGGAACGGTGCCAGGGCGGCGAGCTTTAGTAGTTATGGTGTTTGGATAGTTCCTTTAAATGAGATTCTGCAGCACTGTGCAGTAGAACATGTTAGAAACAAGCCTACTTGCAGTGAAGCATCCATGAAATATGATACAACATACTAAGAGAAGCTCTTTGGGCTTTATCTGCAGTCACTTCACATTTTCCGTGCTATTTTTTTAGCTTCACTGCAAAACCTCTTCTCCGTGAAGTGGTATTACGTGTGAAGGAAATATGCTAATGTAGAATATCTATTCTGGAACTTTAAGATACGCCATGGATTTTAACCAACTTGCAAGACTGATAGCACAATGACCGCTATGAGACTCCGAGGCAGATTGTGTAAAGCAATGAGCAACACAAAACGGGAGATTTGCTGATCATGCTCCATTTATGATCTGTAACTTCATCCATTATTGAGAGCTATATGGGTTTCTTCCACTTCCCATCGATCAATTTCTGAAGCAATGAAATACATAAATGTGGATTCCCAGCACCAGCCATAAGAATGAATCTCAAGGACAGATTTTGACAACAATTAACAATGATTGGAATTATCAGAGGAAATTAATGTGTATTAACTATTTATGCATACGCAAGGTTACATGCAAAGGGGCATAGGGGTCACAGTTTCCCATAAACATGGATCAATTCAGTGGAATCAATTGTGTGTTTTACATTGATCTCATATAGTGCGATTCGAATATTTATTTGGACTTTCAAATATCACTCTCACTGAGAAAACTGTAATTCCCTTAAATTGGGAAAGTAACAGGCCTCAGAATTACCACTCGCCCACTAGCCATTGGAGTGAAATTTCAGCCCTATTGAGTAGAAACGCATCCCTGGGGAGGTTGTCGTGTATCCTTCAGGTTTGCAGTGACATGTAATTTGTTAGGGCAGTCAAGTGACTTGGACCTGAAATTTTAGTCCCTGGTTTTAGTATCTTTAAATAAAGTGGCAGACTTAAAGGAGTATTCCACACCCATAGAGCACTTAAGCTTAGATCAGGCATAGGCAACCTTCAGCACTGCAGATGTTTTGGACTACACCTCCCATGATGCTTTGCCAGCATTATGGGGGATGTAATCCACAACATCTGGAATGCCAAAGGTTGCCTATTCCTGGCTTAGATTGTTCAAGATTAAATTTGACAAAATGTTACATTTCAAATTAAAATATGATCCACAGTACCATAAAGCCCTGACTAGATTTTTTCGTGCACAAATAGAAAGCTCAGCCTGTGAACGAAAAAAATCTTGTCGGGGCTTTATGGTACTGTGAATCATATTTAATTTGAAAAGTAAGATTTTGTCAAATCTTTAATCTTGCTTTAATCTTTAACAATCCAATTAAAACATGGTACACTCTAAAACAAAGTTTAGGACCCAAGGATAAAATCTTAAGATCAAAGTGGCAGACATTCAACTAGGAAAATGGAGATAAGCAGGTATTACTATGATCGAATACATTTTAATCTTGAATATAATTAAATCCTTTGGTAATTTAAAACAGGAATTTACCTTGAATAATACACAAATTATTCCCTATCTTCGTATAAATTTTTTATAAATAAAACATTAAAAGTGGACCACGGAAATCACATGACAATTCTAGAACTAATATTTAACAGAAAAGGAGTAAATAAAGCCTTGGCTTAGTGTAGTAAAATATTACAACAAAAAGAGGAACACATTTTTATCCCAGCGGAAGCTGCCTCACTTGTCATGGTTGGCCGCATCGCAATGATAAAAATGAATCTCCTGCCCCGCATCTTGTACCTGTTCCAGACACTTCCCATACTGATCCCGACAGCGTACTTTACGTCTTTGAGGTCTCTGATGATTAAGTACATTTGAGGCCGGGGCAAGCCGAGGTTGATATTTCTAAGGCTCACGCGCCCAAAACTTGAGGGCGGTCTAGCAGTTCCTGACTTCCAACTTTACTATCAGGCTTCCCACTTGCAATGTGTGCTGGAATGGGTCAAGGATGGAGTGGTGAAGGCAACCTTGGACGTATGGCACAGGGCGGCCCCACGAATGGTCCTCTCCTCCTTTTTATCCCCTCTCTACCCACTCATGAACAACCCAGACTTCACCCCGGGCATGGACCCACGGGCAATCGCTTGCCTGACACCACTAACACACATTCAAGTAAGACACATGATGAAGGACAAAACAATCAAACCCCTCAGTGACTTCCTTGATGGCACACACATTACCTTCCTACACAGACTGAAATACGAACAGATCCGATGGGAAACGATGACAGGAGACACTTTCACAGAACAATGGGTAAAAATATGCGACCTTACACACCACTTGTAAAACCCAAGAGACGGCATACAAGGTTTTGACTCTATGGTATAGAACGCCGCAAATCTTGCAAAAAATTATCCCAGACCCGAGCGGCAGGTGCTGGTGATGCCACACCAAAGTGGGTATATGTCATATGTCCGCACATTTGGTGGGAATGCCCAAAGGTGGTCCCCTACTGCAGAACGATCAGTAGGGTGCTACAAAAGTTCTCAGACAACGCACCCCCCTTCAAACCTACCGCATACCTCTTACACTACACTACAACTCAACCGCCAAATATAAGAAATCCCTGACTATACGGATACTGAACACAGCAAAACATATTCTGCACCTATATTGGAAGACAGACACAACCCCCTCCGTTAACGACCTGGTTTGAGAGAGGAGGAGCTGCTTGGACTTGATGACTTGACGTTCACAGCACAGGGCCGCTCACAAACGTACTTAGACATCTGGACACATTGGCTAGTAGAAGTCTACCGCATAGATTTCCAAAGTATGCTGACATAAAGCAGACAGGGGGATGACACGGGGAATGGGGAGGGTGACACTCAGGCTCTGACCCAGACTTAGACAGGAACCTCGGGTCGCTGGTCCATTTGAGCTGGAAACAGACACTCATCTGCCCTGGCCTATCGCTTCCACCTGAACCATCACATACGGAGGGTGGGAGACAGAGGTGGGAACAAGGGCACAAGTAGGAACCAATCAAGTGGAAAGTACCGGTGGCTAGCTGGCAGACTATCGTGCCTGAGGGTGCAAATATGGTAGGGGGGCTGAAATTGGAAGCCACACCGCTGACCTTAATTACATCAATACCCGCACACAGTACACAAGATTCCATTGGATACACCATGACACTACCCATGCTATCCAAACATCTTTTGCATTGTTTTGTTTTGCATTATACACTGGTTTGCTACCTCCATGACATTTATGATATGTGGAATTGATTGTTTTCTATAACTGCTGGCCATGCCTTTCGCAGCCCTGTGAGACTGGTATTTTGGATGTGCATTTGCATGCAATGCACCTGTGAGTCCTACCTCTTGACTGCAATTTAAACCGTGATGACACGTTCAATTAAAAATTATAATAAAAATTAAATTTACAAAATAAATTAAAATTATTATCCCAGCAATCAAAAAATGGCTGAAGAGTTAAATACGAATATATCGGACAAAAACTGGTTAAAAGCAATAAATTTTATACATTGCATTAATCTCCAAAAAAAACAATATAAGTTAATTAATCATTTGTATTGGGTCCCTGTAAAACTAAAACCCAATGGCCTCAGATCTTTGTTGGTGTTGCAATATTGAGAAAGGGAGTTTTATACATATTTGGTGGCACTGTATAATGATACGAGAATTATGGAATAGGACATATGCGTTCCTAAGAGTTCAAGGAATAAAGTCCCTAAAAAAACAAACACAAATAGCGCTATTACACATATTTGAGTATAATTATTCAGAAGAAGATTTATTATTAATTATACACACTTTAAATGTCTCAAAAATGATAATTGCTAGAAACTGGGGAAAATCTATAACTCCAAAGGACCTAGAATTGAAATCACAATTAGTATTCCAACTTAAGATGTAAGCAGGGTTGGGATGGCAAAATAAAAAAAAAAAAGCAAATTATGTCTCCACTGGTAAAAAAAGATAGTATAACCAGAAATTTAATAAAGACAAGTAACCTTGAACAAACAGTGAGTAAATTAAGTGCTGGTATTAAGGTACTACAAACTGAAAATCAAAAGTTAAGGACTTATGCTACACATCCGTGTGATTAATCGATGGGCTTGTATGTTATGATTTTTATTTGTGATTTTATATTGTTATATACAATATATTTTAATGTCGATGTATGTCACAAAATTTGAAATAAAATAAAAATGTATTGAAGAGAAAAAAAAAGAGCACTTCAGCTTGCTGAATAGGTATATGGATGTGGATTATCCCTTTAATCCAAGTTTATAAAAGTGCACAATTTAATTGTGAAATTAGCACTTCTATATAAGAAAATAGAAACGCCTTCCCAGCTGTCAAACAGCTGGGGAGATTCACTTCCTACTTCCGTTAGCTCTAATAGAGCGTGTCTGCCTTAACATACTGGCTGCAAGAACTGCCCGGGTGACAGGCAGGAGGGAAGCTCTCCTATCCTGTCGGTCAGTTCTTGCAGCATCTGCCCTGTCTCATATCCCTGTGTCAGAGCTTCTCTCTCCTTCCCCTGCCTGCTAACCTTGTAGTTGCTGATCTGACAGGAAACTAAAGATCCTCTACCCACAGATCGGCAACTAAAGTTGAGCAGGAGAGGACCTAGTGTTAGGCTCTGACACAGGGAGGGAAGGGGAAAGAGGAGGCTCTGACACAAGAGGGGATGGGAGGGAGGCTCTGACACAAGAAGGGATGGAAGGGAGGCTCTGGCACAGGGAGAGAAGAGGGAGGCTCTGATCAGGGCCGGACTGGGGATACAAAGCAGCCCTGGAAAAAAATCTATGCCAGCCCCATAAGTCATTGTGCTATGTAGGGTGTTTATTTATTTATTTATATATATATATATATATATATATATATATATATATATATATATATACATACATACATACATACATACATACACACACACACACACAAACACACAATTGAAATAGTTGGCTGCACTCTCGGATTTCCTGAAAATGTAACTTTTATTGAAATATTTAAGAGAAGATCAATGTTTCAGTCCCTCTTGTGGACTTTCGTCACGATCCTGATGCAAGTCCACAAGAGGGACTGAAACGTTGATCTTCTCTTAAATATTTAAATAAAAGTAAAATTTTAAGGAAATCCGAGAGTGCAGACAACTATTTCAATTGCCTATATATATACTGGAGCCCTGGTGATGCAACAGTATATATATATATATATATTTATTTTATTGATACATTTCTTCTTCTAATTCAAAATATTAGTTCTTTTAGGTTAATTAAATTATACAGTAGGAGCATACTCACACACAGACAGACAATCTTACTGATGCACACAAATAGGCTCATTGACAGACAATGACACACACAGACAAGGTTACTGGCACACACACAAATTTAGTACAGACAAACTCTGATACACACACACAGCTTACTATAGACAAGCTCACTGTACGCTCACTACAGACAAGCTCACTGATGCGCACACACTCTCCCTACAGACAAGCCCATTGACACACACATGCTCCCTACAGAAGAGCTCACTAACACACAGATTCACTACAGACAAGCTCACTGACACACACATGCTCACTGACACACATATGGTCACTACAGACAAGCTCACGATCACACTCATGCTTACTACAGACAAGCTCACTGTACACACATGCTCACCACAGACAGGCTCCGACACACCCATGCTCCTTACAGACAAGCTCACTACACACACACATATGATCCCTACAGACAAGCTCACTGACACACATACAAGCTCACTCACTAGCAGGCACACACACACAAACTCACTAGCAGGCACACACACACACAGAGGCTCCCTCACTAGCAGATGCGCACACACACACACACACACACACAGAGGCAGACAGTCACTGACACCCAGGCAGACAGCCACACACACACACAGGCAGACAGTCACTGACACCCAGGCAGACAGCCACACACACACACACACAGGCAGACAGTCACTGACACCGAGGCAGACAGCCACACACATACACAGGCAGACAGCCACACACTCACACACACACACACACAGGCAGACAGCCACACACACACACACACACACACAGGCAGACAGTCACACACACAGTCAGTCACACACTCACACAGACAGTCACAGACACAGTTACACACAGACACAGTCACACACTCACACAGACAGTCACACACTCATACAGACAGTAACACACTCATACAGACAGTCACACACAGTCACACAGTCACACACTCACACACAGTCACACACACAGTCACACTCACACACACAGTCACACACACAGACAGTCACACACACACACACAGTCACACACAGTCACACACAGACAGTCACACACTCACACAGACACAGACAGTCACACACTCACACAGACACAGACAGTCACACACTCACACAGACAGTCACACACAGACAGTCACACACAGACAGTCACACAGACAGTCTCACACAGACAGTCTCACACAGACAGTCTCACACAGACACACTCACACACACAGTCTCACACAGACAGTCACACACAGTCTCACACAGACAGTCACACAGACAGTCTCACACAGACAGTCACACAGACAGTCTCACACAGACAGTCACACAGACACACTCACACACAGTCTCACACAGTCACACACAGTCTCACACAGTCTCACACAGTCTCACACAGACAGTCTCACACAGACAGTCACACACTCACACAGACAGTCACACACAGACAGTCACACACTCACACAGTCACACACAGACAGTCACACACTCACACAGACAGTCTCACACAGACAGTCACACACTCACACAGACAGTCACACACAGTCTCACACAGACAGTCTCACACAGACAGTAGACAGTCACACACAGACAGTCACACACTCACACAGTCTCACACAGACAGTCACACACTCACACAGACAGTCACACAGACAGTCTCACACAGACAGTCTCACACAGACAGTCACACACTCACACAGACAGTCACACACTCACACTGACCTCCTTCTTACCTCCTGTTTGTTGCTCCTGGAGGCTGGTTGTTGGGGAAGCAGGGACTCCTTCCTGCTTCCCATGCTGCAGTCAGCCAGGCCGCCGCACAGTAAGCCCCGCCCCCGCCGCACGCTAAGCCCCGCCCCGGCACGCTAAGCCCCGCCCCCGCTGCAAATTTTTTAAATTAATTTTTTATGATCCCGCCGGCCATGTGTGAGCTGTGACGGCCGCCTGGCTCCCCCTGCTCCCATGGGGCTCTGTGCGGCCGCACAGCTCACACATAGCCGGCCGGGATCAGGGCTGTCAGACCGGCCCCAGGTGCCGCGGCCCACCGGGAAATTTCCCGGTATCCCGGTGGGCCAGTCCGGCCCTGGCTCTGATACAGGGAGGGGAGTGGGGAGGATTTGACACAGGGAGGGGAGTAGAGGGAGGATGGTGGCTTTGACACAGGGAGTGGAGGGAGGAGGGTGGCTTTGACACTGGGAGTGGAGTGGAGGGAGGAGGGTGGCTTTGACACAGGGAGTGGAGAGAGGATTTGACACAGGGAGTGGAGGGAGGCTTTGACACAGGGGAGGGAGGATTTGACACAGGGAGTGGAGAGAGGATTTGACACAGGGAGTGGAGGGAGGCTTTGACAAAGGGGAGGGAGGATTTGACACAGGGAGTGAAGGGAGGCTTTGACACAGGGAGGGGAGGGAGGAAGGCTTTGACACGAAGAAGGGAGGGAGTAGGGAGGGAGGTTTTGACATAAGGATAGGAGGGAGGATTTTACACAGGAAGAGTAGGGGAGGGAGGCTCTGACACAGGGAGGCTTAAACACAGATAGGGGAGGGAGGCTTTAACACAAGGAGGGGGGGGAGGCTTTAACACAGATAGGGGAGGGAGGCTTTAACACAAGGAGGGGAGGGAGACTCTGACACAAGGAGGGGGCTTTGTCACAGGGAGGGGAGGGTGGATAAGACACAGGGTGGGATTGGGGGAGGAGAGACACCTGAAATACCATGGAACATAGGCTTCTCTATGAGAAACTGCTGATTGGACAATTCTCTGTGAAGTCCATATATATGTAGTGGAACTGCACTCAAACCCTCCCAGGAATCCTTGGGTGCTGGCCGGATCAGTCCCACTACCAAGAAGGACCAAATGTAGGATTTTAATGTAGCAAGTAATCCAGGCACTCCAAAAATTTTCCAAAAATAGGCAATTTTATTGGACCCAAGCACCAAAATACAACGTTTTGACAAAGACCTTAGGGTTGAAACGTTGTATTTTGGTGCTTGGGTCCAATAAAATTGCCTATTTTTGGAAGACTTTTTGAGTGCCTGGATTACTTTCTACATTAAAATTCTCTGTGAAGTGACTGAAAGTCACTTCCTGTGAAAAAGGGGAGGGCTTACAAGGCTGCAGTCATAAGAACTGCAACTTTTGCAAGCTGCTTTAGACTATACCCCAATGAATACATACATAAAAATATACATGCATTTATTGGGGGTATATCTACTAAACTGTTTTTTCCCCCCTGTTTTTGTTTTCAAGTGTGGAGTGGTCCTTTAAAAGTTGGATGGGGAGCTATTCTCTGCCGCTTGGCTTATTGAGCTCCACCAACTTAACCTCATATACTCAACCCCTGATCCAATTAGACATCATGCTGCCCTAGCTGTCCAAATAACCAGTATATAAGTAAAAGCCTAATCCATGTGCCATGTGGAAACTCTGTACTGTATAGCTACATATCACTTGACTAATTAATTTTAGTACAGGTCACATTACCACTGCATTATTTCATGGATAATTATTTCATCCTTGTGTATTGTCACTAACAAAAATGTCAACCATTGATGCACTACAACACTGTATTGCGGCCAGGGCCGCCATCAGGGCATGACAACCGTGAAAAGAGTGGTGCACGGACAGGGTCCCACGATCTGCGCACTGGGAGTATCTTCAGTTCTGTGGCAGCAAACTATACAATGTAGGGTACCCCCAACGGGATGGTGTGTTAATCTTACCTATGGCTCCATGAAAGTGGGCAAGGAGGTCATAAGAGCCAATATCCAACTCACACAAAGATCTATGGACGTGGTACAGGAAGATCTAGGAAATTGGAATAAAATGGCTCGCTCACTTTTTAAGAAAATCCCACCACTTAATGTAGATTTGGATACATTATTTAACCCCTTAAGGACCAAACTTCTGGAATAAAAGGGAATCATGACATGTCACACATGTCATGTGTCCTTAAGGGGTTAAAAGAAATAATCGAAGGGTTGTGCAATTGCAAGAGCTGGTGAAGGAAAATTTAGCTAGCCTTAATGATTTAACAAATAGTTTTCAAGAGCCCTGGTGGAGCATCCCCTACAATACTTACACACACCCAGGATTAAGAACGGCTTCTGTAATATTTGTTTGTCTACAGTTTGTTTTAATCTGTTCCCTATTCATTTTATATTGCTGTTGGAGGAAAGAACTAAAAAAAATCCATACAAAGCGGGAAAAATTAGAGCTCACATCCATTTTAGGGATATAAAATATATGTGTGGGTTCATGTCTTGCCTTGATTTTTTTTTTTTTTTTATATCAGAGTGGGTGGTGGGGTTGTATGTGAATAATCTCCTTATTA